TTAAAATTTATATTTATATAAATATTATGTTAAAATATATGTAAAATTCTAACTATATAAGTTTACATTGATTTGTAAATCAACACAAAAATTTTATTTAACTTATATATTCCACGGCCCCTAATGTTCGCCAATGAACATTTCTGATGATATTTTTATGATGACGTAATCCATGAAAATATTAAAAAATATCCCACGGGCATTACGTCATCATTAAAAATTTTAATCAGAAATGTTACGGACATAGGAACCGTGAAATATATCAGATCTTCAACGGTGTGCCATGACATCATGTATTACCACGGCTTCGCCGTGCTAATCCATTATATTCACAGCAGTCCGTGGAATATCTATTACAAATATAAGAATTGCACTTGCTGATTTGAACATCAAGTTGAGGTTGAATCCGTGTTAATGTTAACGCGGGTTTCACCATGATCTACATAGCGGATCTAACCAGACGATTTTTTTGAGTGTTGATCAATATCTTCACGTTAGGGTTTTCATTATAAGTTTAGCTATTTGGAGGCCAAATACTTGGGCTTGATGACCAAATTTTATAAATTCATCGTAATATTATAACTTGCACTAACCTTAACATAATTCTAATTCTCATGTTAATGACAGTATTTATTTTGTTGCTAAGATGAGTTATTGGAAAATAAGTTAAATCAATTACTAGTAAAATGAATTTATTCGTAAATTATTCTGTAAAAGAAGGTAAATATAGTATAGGTGCGATATCTTAATAAATAATCAATTTATTTAATAGCGTAAATGTTACCTAAATTATTAATAAAATCGAAAAAAACTATGGTAATGCTCTGACAGAAAAGATCTATTTATAAACTATAACTACGGTCTTATAGAAAAATCGATAATTGAACAAGCTCATCTTAAGTTTTATAAAAATCAAAATCATGATGTATATTCACTCTTTAGTAAAGTTATTATTATTATCATTTATTTTTACATTACAAACTCATTTAACTTTAGTGAGGTCTACTGCATTGATAAATACTTTGTTCGCTTTTACATCTATATAAGTTCCACCAAAGCTTGCATTATATTTATGTAGTAGTGGTGTTAAATTTCTAGTTGCATTGACCAAAATTCTTTCAATAGCTAATAGTTCGGGTACTTGCTTTTCCGGTACATTCCAATGC